GACCCTTCGAATCCCCCACACACCAACACACACCCAGCCTTCTGCCCTGCACCCCTCACACACCCCCAGCCCTCTGCCCGGATCCCTGAACCCGCCCCACACCCCAGCCTTCTGCCCTGAACCCCCTCCCCCAGTCCTCTGCCCTGACCCCTGAAACACCCCCCACCCCCGAGGTCTGGGGTCCCGGCCATAGGCCCTGCTCAGCCCGCTGCCGGCCTAGGTGAACAGAACCCCAGGTTGGCAGCGAGCCGAGCAGGCTGGTGGTGTAAGATCAGCATTTTAATTTAATTTTAAATGACGTTTCTTAAACATTTTGAAAACCTTGTTTACTTTACATACAATAGTTTAGTTATAGAAAGAGACCTTCTAAAAACGTTAAAATGTAATACTGGCACGCGAAACCTTAAATTAGAGTGAATAAATGAAGATTCGGCACACCACTTCTGAAAGGTTGCCTACCCCTGGTCTAAGGTGTCCTTCACTCCCGACCCGCAGCCCCTGCTCCTCAGCCCTGCCCCTGCAAGCTCTGCCCATGCCCCTCACTCCAGACCTGCAGCCCCGGCTCTCCCAGCCCTGCCTCACGCAACTCTGCCAGTGTCCCTTAATCCTGACCTGCAGCCCCCAACCTGGACTCACCTTTCCTCAGGAACTCCCCGTTCTGGTGGTCCATGAACTCGTCCCTCTGCTGCGAGTAGTTGGACATTTTGTTCCCCTTCATGCTCTGGAAGGAGGCGTTCTCCACCACCGCGGCCACTTGCTCCTCACTCAGCTCCTTCCCCAGGAAGTGGCAGATTCTCCGCACGCTGCCCCACGGATCCTGAGGGAGACACCCATTGCTGTGAAGGGTGGGATCTGGGGTTCCTCAGTTTCCCCATACGGAAGGTTCTGCTCAGGGGATGGGGTACCTATGTGGATGGGGTCTCAGGGGCGGGGCTATGTGTGGGTGTCACCAGGAGGTGGAGTTATGTGTGGATGAGGTCTCAGGGGCAGGGTTATGTGTGGGGGTGGCCCCCAGGGGGTGGAGTTATGTATGGGTATGACCCAAGGACGGGGTTTCCCTACCTGCTGCAGCTCCTCGTAGGTGATGGAGAAGAAGTTCTCGTTGCCCTTCAGCCCCATCCAGCCGGTGACGTGGTCGAACCAGGAGCCGTAGGGCACTGTGCACGGGAGAGCGGCACGGTGACTCCAGAGCTGGCACCACCCGGCCCCTCCACCCTGGTCTGCTGGGGACTGCAGGAGCCAGGGACACCTGGGTTTTATCCTGGCACTGGGAGGAGGGGTGGGCTGGTCGTCAGTGGTGTTTGCAGACCCCTGGTTGTGCTGCGGCTGTTTGGGGAGGGGGGCTCTGAGCTGTGCCGGGTCCTGGGCAAAGGGCTGGGGAGGCACAAACTCAGTGCCTTGCTTGGAACCCAGGTGTCCGGCTCGAGTGGTCCCGGGGTGCTGCTCACCGTTCCCACTCAGGAAGTCCTCGAGGAAGGAGTCCAGTGAACCAGGGTCCTTGAACAGGAGCAGCAGCTTGGAGAAGTGGTACAGCGAGACCAGGACGTCCTTGGGGCAGCGCAGGGTGTAGATGATCTGGGGGGAGGGGAAGGGGGTCACTACCACTCAGGGGAGGGAGATGACAAATGGACCCAGCGATTAGCCACCCACCCCGGGCCGTCACCTCCCCACCCTCTCTGCAGGGAGACGGATTCGCCGCACCCCACTGGCTGCTCTTCCGCCCTCCCCCATTGCTGTAA